TAATTGCGTGTGCCTGGAGAGCACACAGAAAGTTTCAAGTTCAATAAATAAGAAATTAAATTTTCAAACATATAAAATAACTTATTTGTCATTTTGAATTCATTTTCTTCCCTATAATATTGAGAAAATATAGATAAATATGGATTAATATAGATACAAAAAAAGACAAAGTAAAATGATGTACTGCTTTTCAATTATTAATAAACTTTTTTTAAAGCAAATTCAAAGAAAAACTTTTTACATTTTAATATCTTTATGACAATGAAATAAATATATTTTAAAATAACTCAATAAATATGTATCAGTAAGGAAAGATAATATTTAAATACCTTAATACACAAGCTTCATCTTTAATTCTAAGATAGATGGGATAAAAACACACCAAACATTATGCGCGTAAATAAGTAGAGAAAAAAAAGACAAAAGTGTCTATAAAATAAAATAAAAAGAATATTTCATATACTTTGCTTAAGATGGACATTGCACAAAGAGGAATTTTAAGTTCTCTAAAACTTCTAAGTTCTTCTCTAAAAATCTACCTCTAAAAAGTTCTTGAAAACAGAATTTTTGCTCCTTCTTGCATAGTGCTTGCTTTATAGAAATTAATTTTTTTTTTTTAAATTATCATTCAACGAAGTTTTAAAAACATACTTTACTCAAAAATTTTTTTATGCATAATAAATATTAAACAGTTTTCATAATATTTATGCAAAAAGAATAGCCTAGATAACTTTTTATTTTATTATCTAAATTTCATATTTAAATATTTCATCTGCATGATATAAAAACTTTATACATACCAAAGTTTTTAATATTTTTAGAGCAAAAAACTCAAGGTAAGATTTAAAAAAACTTAGCGTCCTTGTAAAAAATTTAATTTTAGAATTTTTTGGAATAAAAGGATATGAATGACGTTAACAGAATGCTAATATCTCTGTCTTTATATTTTAAGAAACCTGCGTAAACGTAAAATTTTAAATTCTCTAAAACAGAATTTTTGTTCCTTCTTACATAGTGTTTGCTTTATGGAAATTAAATTTTTTTTTCTTCAAATTATCATTCGACGCAGTTTTAAAAACATACTTTACTCAAAAAATGTTTATGTATAAGAAATATTAAACAGTTTTAATAATATTTATTGAAAAAGAATAGCAGAAATAACTTTTTAATTTATTATCTAAAAATCATGCTTAAATATTTCATCTGCATGATATAAAAACTTTATACATACCAATGTTTTTAATATTTTTTAGTGCAAAAAACTCAAAGTAAATTTTAAAAAAATATAATTTCCTTGTAAAAAAGTTAATTATAGAATATTTTGGAATAAGAACGGTTAGAATTTAAATGTATAAAATATTATATATTATTTTCCTTTAAAATTAATCCTAGCTAAAAAATACAATACTTTACTTTTTATAATAAATACTTTACAGTATTTATTATTCATTTTTTACTCAATTAAATTACATTATTTGACTTATGTAAGCTTGATTTCTAAGCATTTAAATAATCTTTGAAAATTACAGTTGAAAGAAATTTCATGCAATTTACCAATACATATATTTTCAAATTTCACTTTTTTCACTGGACTCAACGTTCTGAATCCTTTATTCCATCATGAATACTCAAAACGTCTGAAATCCAAGGACAAGTACTTTAAACAAAAGTACAGAGTAAAAAATAAAGACTTTGAAGAGTGGTTATTAAAAGATAAAGTAAAACAGCAAGTACAAAACAAACGAGATACGAGTTTTTAATACACTAACATAAAATCAAAAATTCGAAAAGAAATAATGAAAAGACATGCAAAGCGAAACTATCCTACTTATGTACTCACGATCAACTGTGCTAAAAAAGTAGTTTGTTTTCAAATAATTTTATTTATTTTAGAACAATATTACATTTTTAAGCAGTGATCATACTGTGTAAACATTTTGTACGATGCATGAGGCAAATTGTTTTTCGAAGCGAAGCAAAAATATTTTTGCTTAATAAGTAGTACTTGCTAAAATATACCCACATAAAGTATTTAAAAAAAATGTTCGATATGCTTATAATAGAAATATTTTGAAATAAAAAATATTGTCACACATGACAAATATGTGCAGTTAAAAATAATTAATTGTACATAAGATTAATTAATTAAAAAAGTAAATGTTGATGAAATGATTGATTTTTTTACAACCATATTTCAACCATAAAATTTGGTTTATACGTTTAAATTACGGAATTGATTAGGAAATAAAATAGTGTTACGTAATCATACACTAGAATTTCAGAAAATATGCAACCTGTTTTTTTCAATGATGATTTTTACTTTTTAAAATAGGAAAAAAGGGATTTAAATAGAAAAAACGAAAAAATAATATTCTTCACGGATATCAAGAAAATATATATTTATAAATTGATATTTCATTTTACGTTTAATCCAAAAATTACGTTAACATAGTATGGTAGTCTTAAGTGAAATATTCTAAAGCTTTTGACTAGATAACAAATAATGATTTAGGCTTATTTAAATTTAACATTTGTATTTTTTTCCTCAATATATGTCGTAACATTTAATTTCTTCAATAGAATTGAAAATGAAAAATTTAATATTTTTTATTCTTAAAACAATGAGATGCACCAATTTGTTATTTAATTTTAACATACCTATAGATGTATTATGAAATTACTTTAATGGTTTTACTAGTTTTTAATGAAAATCTCAATGATATTTTCTAACTTCTTTGCATATTAAATACAGCAAACGTATGTGTTTTTAAAACGTATTTGTTGCCATTTACTTAGGTACAACTTCTACAGGTGAGTTGGCTACGTTAATAACTTCAAAAATTAATTTGAAACTTTTAATAAAACTAGGAATAGAAAGGTAGGTTTATTAGGTCTGAAAACAAAATCTAATTAAAATTTTTTTTAAATATTTTTCTCCAATGTACAAAGTAAAAAAAGGATTAACTTTAATAAAATAAATTTGAATATCCATACTATTTTTGCTTTCATATGTTACACATAGGTATTCACAAGCTTGCTTTTTTGCTAATGTTTTAAAATGCCTTTTTTAGCATTTACTTAAGTTGTACACATTTAAGTGAGTTCGTCAGAAAAAAATGCATCGGCAAAAATAAATATGAAGCTCTATTAAGAATATTAAATTTCATTGTTAACACAATAATCTAAGGAAATGTCTCGCCGATTTTGCTTCATAATTAACAAACAAAATATTGTATTAAATCAAAAACTAATTTGTATGAATATACAATAAGTATTTTCAAATGAAATTTATTTTGGATCATTTTTTTCACGACATATTTTATACACACAGGACAATGAATTAAAATCTGAGAGATTTTCTATTAAATGCTCTTGGGTGGCGATATATACTAAACTTATTAATGACTTAAGTAAAATTTCTTTATCTTTATTTCATTTCTTAAGAAAAAAAAAGAATTAACGGTTCATCAATGCTTTCAGAATTTTTTTACAATTTAATTTGTTAAACAAAGTAAATTCTTGTTCCACACTTATAAAAGAGTTTTTCGAAAATTGATGATTTTTTTTAAGTATTTCACCCTATTAAATGTTTCAAGGTATAGTTATATCCTTCTTAATAATTTGCAGCTAAATCAGTGTTAATCAAAAGCTTTTCTTATAAAGGTTTTTTAAGGGAGAGATTTCTCTTGATAACCTCTTACTGTTATATATTTCAGTAGTTTGGATTCTAATAAAATGCTCTCGTTGGTTTCAGAGCAAAATAAGGATATAGTTACAAAATATATGAAATTTGATGAGTTTAAAATTGTAAAGCTTTTGATTAGAATAAAAGAAAATGTTTTATTCTTTTTAAAATTTATAATTTATAAGTTTTGTAAATGTTTTTTTTATCCCTCTATATGTAGTAAAATGTAACTGCGTATATAATAAAAAAAGTGCGTAATTTTTTACCCTAAGACATTGAGATACATCACTTTGTTGTTTAGTTTTAAATTACCTATAGATATATTTCAAAATTATTTTTTGTTAGTTTTCTTATTAAAATCACAATAAGAGATTTTTATTGATTTGTATGCTAAATATATGACATGTATCTGGTTTTAAAATACATTTGTTGCCATTTATATAGGTGCAACTTCGTCAGGTGAGTTGGCTACGCAAATTCATAAATTTTTCATAAATGTTAAATTTTATTACTTTTAAAAAAAAAAAAGTAATATTTTGGAAATTTTCATTCAAAATTGAAAAATAAAAAATTATTTCGATTGAAAACAAATTTGAATGAATATTCAATTTGTATTTTTAAAAGAAATTTAATTTGTAACATTTTTATTCAAGACATATTGTGTACACTCATGACAATGAATTATTTTACCATTGAAGTTTTCTATTAAATGCTCTTGAGTGGCGACTTATACGAAACTTATTTAAGACTTAAGTGAAGCATTAAATCTGTGTTTCCTTAGGTCTGGTTTCTTAGGACAAGCGCCTTATCTGGGCGTCAGCGGGACGTCAACGTCGCGCTGACGCCAACAAAATACTGGTTTGTTAGCTCAAGGCCTGGTTTCTTAGAACTAGCGCCTTATCTGGGCGTCAGCGGAAAGTTGACGTAGAGCTGACGCCAAAAAAATACTTTTTTGTTAGCTCAGCGTGAGCAGTCGGTCCAACGCAGACATTATCTCTCATTGCGCATGCGTTAATAACGTAAACAAATATTTATTTTGAATTTGTATTGATTTTGTTATTGTCGACCAGTGTTTCTGAGAACAAATAATGACTTTGTCCAAGAAAAAACACATTATAGCTGAGCTAAATGAAGAGTGCTATGTTTAATGAAGAAGCTATGTTTAATGTCAAAATCAAAATCTTGGCTGATTTCAATGTGCTGTTAAATGTTGTCCGCCATTGCTTCTGTGGTTAACGTCACGTTGTAATCCAACTGCAGTTGAGTTCGACAGCAATTGTAGTTCAAGATGAGCGTTCGATGACGTATACTATCAAACTCACAAATGGACCAATCAGAGGTTAGCGCAGATTTCCAGCTGACGGCTCCTGTCCTAAGAAACCAGGCCCTTAAGAAAGAAAAAGAATTAAGGATTCATCAATGCTTTCAGAATTTTTTATTCAATGTAATCTGTTAAACAAAGTAAGCTTCAACACTTCTTGTTTAACACTTAAAAATGGATTTTTCGAAAACTGCTCGTTTTGTTTCACGTGCATTTAAATATATCAAATGCTTGAAGGTACAGTTATTTATTTCTTAATAATTTGCAGCGAAGTCAGTTTTGAGCAAAGTCTTTCGATATAAAGATTTTTTCAATCAGAGATTTCTCTTAATAAGCTCTTAATGTGATATATTTCAGTGCTTTGGTTTCTGAAACAAATGCTCTAGTTGGTTTCAGAACAAAATGCAAAAATTTATGAAATTTGCTGAGTTTAAATAACTTTATTCCTTTAAATATTATCTTGTGAATAATTTTTGCTGTAACTTTTTATATTTATACTAAAACCTTCCGTTTTAAAAGTCTTTTTGAATTCCAAATTAATCTTAACAAAAATTAGTTCCTGTATATCCTCTTTTTTTATTCAAAAAACTTTTTTTTTGTTCTTTCAGTTATTTATAGTGACATAATATTAAAAGCAAATTTTTATTGCAGGTGCATACGAAGTAATATCTGAAGTAATATCTAGTGGTATGTCTGATAAAACGAAAGTTTTTATAAAAATATTAGAACTTAAAAATTTTTTACATCTGTAAAACAATTAGTAATGTAAATTAAGGAAAAACTAAATTCGCACATAAAATACTCCTGAACTAAATGCGCATACAAAAAATACATGAACTAAATATAAAAACTGCGCATATCATTATTTTTTTTAGAGTTTCAACAGTATAAAATTAAAAATTTTCGTAATGCAGGTATATGTACATAAGTATTTCAGTTTTTCAGTATTAATAAATTTCCAATAAGAGGTATAATTTTTTCTAATTTTATTTGAAAAATTCATTTATTGAAATATCCAAAAGTCAATAAGAATTATTGTATGATTTCTCAATATTTACAATATTTAATTATTGTATGATTTCTCAATATTTCTCAATCACACAATAATTTTTATTATGGAAATATTAAAAAATAAAAACTTGTGAATATAATATGATTAAAAATAAAACCATGTAAAAATAAAGTAAAGTGTTAGATAAAAAAAGCAAGAATGTAATATTAAAAAAAATATAAGAAAATTTATTCCCTATAATTACAAATTTGAAATCAACTTGTTTATTTTTCTCCTCTTTTCCCATTTTCAAATTATAGATTTTAGAAGATTTATTTTATTTCAGTCAGTAAACTTATATTTAAGCTAATTAGATATTTAAAAAAAATTAAAAGCCACGACAAATATTTATAACAACGAGTTATAAATAAAGTTGCTTTAATTAATTTCATTGCTTCCATGAAAAGTGAAAATATTACTATGTATGAGAAATATGTGCGGTTAAAAAATAAATTTATAAGCTTTAAATTGCTTGAATAAGAATATTTTTGAATTACTAAAAATGCTAAGTTAAAATTAAATGATATTAGAATAAAAGAAAATATTTGATGATAATTAAAATTTAAAATTTAAGAATTTTTTAAATGTCTTATCCTAATGTATGTAATGCGTAAATGCGTTCATACATAAAAAAAGTATGTGCATTTCTTTAACCCTAAAATATCGAGATGCATCATTTTGTTGTTTAGTCTCAAATTGCCTATAGATATATTTTGTAATTAATTTTAGTTGGTTTTTCTATTGAAATCTCAATAATAATTTCGAATTGATTTGTATGCTGAATATATGACTTATATATTTTAAAAATTTTTTGTTGGCATTTATGTAGGTCCAACTTCGTCAGGTGAGTTAGTTACCTAAATTCATAACTTAAAAAATAAATTTCAAATTTTTTATAAAATTGGAAAAACTAATTTCAGTTGCTTTCGGAAGTATTTTCTTATAACTGAACAAATCAAAAGTGGATTTAATGCTTTCAAATAAATTTGAATATTCATACAATTAATTTTTCACATGTTAGACATAGATGATTGTGTTTTGAGGTACGATTTTGACATATTTTTTGCTTTAAAAATGTTTTTGTTGCCATTTTCTTAAGTCTAACATCTTCAGGAAAGTTAGTTAGAAAAATATTATCTTCACTAATAATTTAGAAAATCTCTTCTGAAATTGTGTAAATAATTTCAAACTTCATTGCTTTAAGTATTAATTCGGCTACTTTCCTTCAAAATTAAAAATTAAAAAATAAGTAAAATTTAAAACTGATTTGAATCTATATACAACTTATATTTTCACATTAAACTTAGTATGGATAAATTTTTTTCAATATAAGGGGGACAATTCTTTTTCCTCTACGCATTTTACTGTATTGAATATTTCAAAGTATTGTTATTTATTTCTTAAGTAAATTGCTACAAAGTTAGTGTTAAACAAATTCATCCCCTGTCGAAGATTCTATCAAGATGAAAATTCTATTGTTAAAATACAGATGCCATGTATTTTAGTACTTCGGAATCTACTCTTCCGGTAATTTCAGAGCAAAAAAAATAATGTATCGAAATTTACAGAGTTTAGATAATTTTATTCCCTTAATTCCTTTAAATCTTGTGAATATTTTTTCTCCTTTTTAACTTACATTTATACAGAAACCTTCCTTTTTTAAATTCTACATGAGGCTTCACATAAATGAGATACTGTATATCTTCTTTTTTATTCCAAAACTTTTTGAATTTTATTTATTTATTTATAGTGTAATCGGGTAATTTATAGTGACATATTATTAAAAGCATATTTTCATTGCAGGGGAATATGAAGTAGTATCTGAATTAATATCTGGTGGTAAGCCTGATGTTTAGTTGAAATATTATAAATTTAAAACCTGATAAGATACGTAATAAAATCATAATATAAAATACGAATATCATTCCTTATTTTAAGTCTTTAAATTTAAATAAATGGTTTACAATACACTATAAAAACTTCTATTACAATAGAAATTGTCATAATGCAAGGAAATGTACAAAAATATTTCATTTTCAGGCATTAATAAATTTTTAATTAGACTTATCTTTATTTCCTATTTTATTTGAAAATTTCATTTAAAAAAATATTCAATAAAACTTATTACGAGTGTTTTATTCAGTGAATGAATTTCTGAAAACAATTAAGAAAATCAAAGTTTCTTTCTAAAATTAATTTATTAATAATTTATAATAAATTGGTTTAGACACTATTTTAAATTTTAAAAAAAATATTTTTATCAAAATGCTTTGTCAAGTTTTTTTTAACATTTTAATATAAAATTAATACAAAAGTGAAAACATATAAATATGATTTGAATAATAATTAAATAATATAAAAAAATGATATAAAAATAAGATTACATTTCCCACAAATACAAATTTGATTGCAACATGTTTTTTTTCTTCCAAATTTTTTTTTAACATTTATAGAATACATATTTTAGATTCATTTTTACTATACTTTTTATATATATTATGTATATATATGCATTAAAATGTATTTTTTGCTATTCATTTAGGTCCATCTTCAGGTGAGTTAGCTTAATAAACTTCAAAAATAATTGTGAAACTTCATATAAAAATGGGAAACAGATGTGAGAAATTAATTTGTCATAACATAAAAACTTATTTTGAAGTTCTTTTCGAAATTTTTTTTTAAAAATGAACAAACTAAATATAAGTTAAATAATTTAAATAAATTTGCTTAAACATACAATTTACGTTTCCCATGTTACTAAGATATGTTCACACGATTGTTTTTCAAAATCCATTTACAACATATTTTTGTTTTTAAAATGGTTTTGTTACCGTTTACTTTGTTCCAACATCTTCCGTTGAGATATATAGAAAATATTTTTTCTATGATATTAATTTGAAACTCATTTTAGAAATTGTGAAAATCATGTTGAATTTCATTGATTAAAAACGAAAATTTTAATTGAGCGAACTTTCGAAAATTAGTACAAATTAAAAGTAACAAACAAATAATGTGATATATTTTAAAATAGTTTTAAAGTATGTACAATTTATAATTTCGTATTAACATTTTTATTTCAATATACGTACTCTAACAGGACAATAAATTAAAATCAGTGAGATTTTTTACCGAATGCTCTTAAGCGGCAATTTATTCAAAACTTGTTTATCTGAAGTTTTATATCTTTATTTTCCTTCTTATAAAAGAAATAATTAAAGGTTTATAAAAGATTTAAGATTTTTTTTACAATCTGTTAAATAAAGCAAGTTCTTGTTCAAACACATATAAAAGAGTTTTTCGTGAAGTGTCTATGCAGCTTTCTCATTGTGTATTTCACTCTTTCAAATGTTTTATTGTTAATAACAGTAAATTATTGCAAAGTTAGTGTTGAGGATGAGGAAAGTCTTTTTCTATTGAAGATTCAGGCAGGGAGAAACTCCTCCTGTTGATCTCTGAAAGTCTCATGTTTAAGTGACTTGATTTTAATATAATAAAATACTTCACTGCAAAAAAGGCTAAAGCTTCACAAATTTACAGAATTTGTAGAGTAAAAATAACTTTTTTTCTCTTAAATAATATTTAGTTAATATTTTTCATCTTTTTTACTTTATATTTCAAACATAAACCACTCCGTTTTTAAATCATTTGAATTTTACATAAGGCTTCCCATAAATCATTTCGAGTATATTCTGATGTATATACTTTTTATAGAAAAATTCCTAAAGTTTCATTTATTGTAGTTTCAGTTATTTCCAGTTACAAGTTATTAACAGCATATTTTAACTTGCAGAAATATACGAAGTAACGTCTGAAATAATATCTGGAGGTAGGTCAAAATTTTTTTTTTAAAATTAATATTCTATAAGTGATAATCTGCATGAAGTCCCTATTTCAATAAAAAGCCTTTAATACGTAACTGAAGCAACTTATTTTATAAAAAGAAATAATAATGAACTGATCTGATCATAAATATTGCATGTTTATAGTAAAACAATTGTTTAAACAAAATATATAATCATTTCCATTTTTTTTCCAAACTGACTTTTCAAAAATTAATAAAACATATTCCATTAATATGTATATTTATGTATACTTAAATTCAAAGTCTAAACACTTAATTCAAAGTTTCAATTATTCCCATCAGTAAATGTTTTATTTTTCGTTCCTACTTTAATAAAAATGTCTTATAAAATATAATATCTTGCAGGATATTTTCAAGAAAAATAATATAAAAACATTTAATATTTAAAAAACATAAAAATTAATGCGTGGAAAATAATTTACATAATAATAAATTAGTATAAATCTAAAAATAATAAAATAATAATAAACTTTTTCCCAAAAATCTAATTTTGAACTCCGCATACATATCACAATGCCTGTTCTAATTTTTTTTTTTTACATTTGTTGCTTACAAATTTTTATTTTTTTTGTTTGCAGAACTTATATTTTAGATAATTAGCTATTTGCAAAGAAGTATTGCAGAGCTTTAACAAATATTAATGTNACCATTTATTTAGTTCCAACATCATCAGGTGAGTTTGTTACAGCATATTTGCATAAAGAAAATTAACTCTCTTTTAAGAAATTGCGAAAATTATTATAAATTCCCTGACCAAAAACGAAAAAGATTTTTTCGTCATTTATTTCATTAAAATTAATAATCTTTAAAAAGGCGTTTAAGTTTTTAAAAAATTTAAGTATGTAGGCAATTTATGTTTTCTCATCAAATTTAGGGTTTATACATTTTATTTTTCAATGTATCTACACACTGGGTAATGAATTCCTGAAATTGTGAGAATTTCTACTATATACTCAGTAATTTCTCCAGAAAAAAAAATGTTTTTTTTTTTAAATATGTATCGAATAAGTATCGAAAGTCTCCTGTGATACCAATAGGTAATATAAAATTTTTTATGATGTTATATTAAATTATACAGGTCTAAACCAGCTTAAGAATTTTACACTTACGTTAGGAATATGTTTAATTTTTCGAATTATAATTTATTAGTAATGTTTAATTTTTCATTGAAACTTACATAATTTGATTATAGTGTTAGAAGAAATATTTTTTGAACGTTGCGAAACATTTTTGTTTAAGGATAGAGACTTTCTGTGTAACAAGGTAAATTTTTGCTCTAACGCTTATAAAGGAGTGCTTCAAAAACTGACCACCGTATTTTTCCTGTGTATTTCACTCACTTCATGGAATTTTTAATTATTTCTTAAGTAAATTGCTGCAAAGGTATTGTCCAGCAAAGTGTTAATAGAAGAATATAGAAGATTTTGTAAAGGAGAAACTCCTCTTGCTCAATAATTGCTATTTAAATAATATACGCTAATTAAGAAATTTTTACTTGTAGAAATATACGAAGTATTATCTTCTGTAATATCTGGAGGTAGGTCTCATAAAACAATAGTTTTACTTGAAATGATTGGCCTGTATAAGTTGTTTAGATACGTTATAAAATAAATATTTTTAAATATTTATATTCTTTTTTTAAGCCTCTGCATTTCACATTTGAATAAATAGGATTAATAATAGATTGAAGCGACTTATGATATTTTAAAATAGTTTATAATGAATAGAAATATTCAAATATATATTTCATATTTTATATATAAAAACATTATGACGAAAATCAGAAAAAAAGGTAATAGTCTTGATTAGGAAATATATACCTATCAATTTAATTTTACATTTGCTGTATTATTTATAAGATACTGGAAACAAAGTACGATAGTCTTGAAATTTGAAATTTAAAATTTTTAAACTAGATATCAAGACATTTTTCGAATAAAATTAAACAATTATGAGTTATCTAAATGTTTTTTTATAAATGTAGTTATATTTAATTGTGTCAGTGGCTTAAATAATTAATAAAAAATTAACATTCTTATAATCTCAAAAAATACAATGCATCCCTTTGCTGTTTTGTTTTAATTTATCTATAAGTATAGCGCAAATTAATTTTTCTAATTTTTAGATTTTTACTATTTATGTGCCATGTACATATATATATGTATATATATATATATATATATATAGGGCAATT